CAGAGAAGTTGGGGGTGGGCAATATGAGAGGTTGTCACATTTTTGTATTATAATTTTCAGTAATGTTTGAATGGTTTTACTGTGAGAATATTATTTCAGAAGCAGAAAAATTAAAGAGTATTCAAGAGTGGTACTGAAATGCTCTTTGTAATATGCTTTGAAGTAGTAAAAATTGGATGCCATACATGAGAGATTGGTTAAACGAATTACAGTATATCCATCTAGTGGCATACAATTCAGCTCTCTCCAAATGCTATATAATCTAACACTTAACAAAAGTAGCCAATGATAACAATATGTGTTTATATAGCTCGAAGTGTTAATTATCGCTAGCGATACCTTAAATTTTCTGAGGTATTTCTGTAATGTACAATTCTTTTTAAAAATATTTATTTTTTAACTAATTTCAGAGAGAAAAGAAGAGGGGGAGAGATAGAAACATTAATGATGAGAGAGAATCATTAATCAACTGCTGGGGATCGGACACATCAGCTGCATGTATCCTGACCAGGAATCAAACCATGACCTCCGGGCTTATATGTCATCTCTCAACCACTGAGTGAGCCACACCAGCAGAGCTGTAATGTTTCAATTCTTAAGAATCAGCATCAGTTACTTTTGTAATTGGGAAAAAAAGCCTATTATGTAATGCAGGCTGAAATTAAGGATTTTGTGAATTAACTACCCCAGCTAAATATATTGTTTAACTTTTATGCAGTACATTTATTTATTTTTTTAATCCTCACCCAAGAATATTTTCCCATTGATTTTTTTAGAGAGAGCAGGAGAGAGAGGGAAAGACAGAGAGGAATATCTATGTGAGAGAAACACATGGATTGGTTGCCTCCTGCAGGAGCCCCAACCAGGGCCCGGGTGGGGAGGAACCTGCAACCGAGGTATGTGCCCTTGACTGGAATCGAACCCAGGACCCTTTGGTCTGCAGGCTGACACTCTATCCACTGAACCAAACTAACGAGGGCTACATTAGACTTTTGTATACATTTCCAGGAATCTATAATATATGTTAGTAGAAGACTATTTAGACATCACTTTTTTCCCCTGTGACTTTAGGCATGACACCATGTCTTTAATAAACTCTTATTTTCTTGGCTGCAAAATACATACATACATACATACATGCATATACATACATAAATACATACATACATACATAACATCTATTTTGCAAATATTTTGCATTGTTTTAATTGTTTTTGCATGTGGCTTCCCAGAAAGTTTTATTTTTTTAATAAACTATTAACTGTAGAGTAATTTTTGGAATTACTTTGGATTTGCAGAAAAGTTGTCAAGAGAGAAAAGTGGCTGAGGGAGTTCCTGTATGTCTTTCATTCATCTTTCTCTAACATTATCATCTTATACTCGTATAACCATAGTATAATTGTCAAAACAAAGCAATCCCATACCATTTTAGAGTTGCCTTGTTCATGTGGGGCGGAGACTGGAGCAGCTCTGAGGTAATGATCTTCCTCTGCAGGAAACTCTGGTTTAAAGTTCGGTTGATTGAAATTTGGAGCACATTTATTTTTCCAGAAAGTATGAGCTTTCCAGTCAGAGCACAGAAGTCTATTTAACCCATAATGTTCTGAAAAATATCATTAATGGTTTACTAATAGAGCTGTAGAATTCCTTTTACTGCAAGTAACACTGTTTCTACATGCAAAGACATTCCAATTTTTAAAAAAATATATCTTTATTGATTTCAGAGAGCAGGTGAGAGGAAAGAGAGCTAAATAGAAACATCAATGATGAGAGAGAATAATTGATTGGTTGCCTCCTGCACGTCCCCCACTGGGGATCGAGCCCACAACCTGGGCACGTGCCCTTGGCAGGAATCGAACCTGGGACCCTTCAGTCCACAGGCCGATGCTCTATCTCCTGGGCCAAACCAGCTAGGGCAACACATTCAAATTTTGATTTTGAAATTTTTTTGGAGTCTGGGGACTCTGCTGGAGGATGTAATTTGTGGTCTATTCTCCTATGATTCTAACATTTAGTATCTTCCTCTCCCTACTATCAGGCTACTCCCTTTCTGAGGTCAAAGGGCAAAGTGAGAAGTGTGCCTCACATCATCCTACTAGGAAGCAACACGCCATTAGAGCACTCTTCGAAAGACAGCTCTCATTGTTCCCTTTCCGAAGTGGCTTCCTCAGGGACAGGCTGCTCAGGAAGTGCTGGGTCTGAAACGGTCTTTTCCCGGAGCTCAGCGGAATACCACGGGTAACAGGACACTCCCGAGTGTCGGAGCGATGACCCAGGGCCCGAGAACAGAGCTCCCAGTGCCCACCCCAAGCCCGGATCAGCCCGGGCTTCATGCAAGACCCTTCTCTGCTTGGGGTCTTGGTTCCTCATCTGCAAAGCAAGGGGCTTCAGTGACATTTCTGGCTGGCTATTTTCTCAGTGATTCTCAAAAACAGGCTTTAAAGGGAGTGATGCATATGTTCATAGCACACATGTCTTAACACTTACCAAACAGCGGATTTTAAATGTATGCAGTTTGTTGTATTTCAGGTTCACCTCGATACAGCAATCTAAACAGATTTTATGCAGCTTCTGGAAGGAGGGGTAGAAGGAGGAGGCTGTTTGGTAAGGACCTGTGTATATTGTCAGGAACAACAGTGGCAGAAACAATAAGTGCTTTCTGGAGTTTTCCTTCCTAAAGCTTATGCTTTCTCCTCCTCTGACTTCCATTTATGTATGTATTATTTAGTTATTTAAAATTACTATTTTCATCCATTCCAGGGAATGGTCTTTCTCCTCATCTCAGGCATGATGCTAGAGTCTGCTCTCTTTTGGGGATTAACTCCAGGCTCAGGAATAAGGGATCCAAACTTACCTTGGATCCCCACCGCAACTCTAGGTTCATCCCACTGTCCTTTTTAGGAAGAAAGAGCTATCGTGTGTTTTTACACTTACAGGGAATGCAATTCACTGAGTGGTACTTCCCAGTAAAAATCCCTCTCTGAACCCACAAGGTGAACAACTGGATAAAGAACTGCTGAGAGGATTCCATGGAGGTGGCTTTTAGCCACTAAAAAACGTCTTTCCCCGACTTCTCCTACACCCAGTCAGGCACCGATCACTCCACACGCCCTTGTGATTCTTCCACTGAAATACCTCATCTCATGCATTCCCTCTGCTACCACTTCATCCTGATGCATCATTTAAAAAAATATATTTTTATTGATTTTTTTACAGAGAGAAAGAGAGAGGGACAGACAGTTAGAAACATCGATCAGCTGTCTCCGGCCATACCACCCTGAACGCACCTGATCTCAGAAGCTAAGCAGGGTCGGGCCTGGTTAGTACTTAGATGGGAGAAACATCGATCAGCTGCCTCTTGCACACCCCCTACTGGGGATGTGCCCGCAACCAAGGTACATGCCCTTCACTGGAATCAAACCTGGGACCTTTCAGTCTGCAGGCTGACACTCTATCCACTGAGCCAAACCGGCTTCGGCCAGATGCATCATTTTAAGTCCTTGGCTCCCTGCTTCAAGTATCTCTGCTGGGCAGCCCATCTTACAAGTCTCCTCGTTTTCAACACTGTCTTCATCATCAGCTCCCTGGGCTCTCCCCTTCCCCCTCGCATCTGGTGTAAACCCCTCTGCGTGGACGGTGAGGCCCTCCACCCTGCAGCCCTCCCTTCCCACCTGTTCAAGGTCAAGGCTGCCCGAGTGGGGCACGTTTCCTCCCTCACCCAACCGTGTGCCATGTGCTTTCCCAGGTGTCTACTTGTTTCCCTACCATTATCCAGGCTCTCCTCGGCAAGTCCTACCCATTCTAAGACTTAGTTCAAACCCCGCCTTTTCTAAGAAGCGTTTACTGGTTTCCCAACCACACTCACTTCGATTCATGGGACTACTATTTACTTGAGAAGTGCTGGGATATGAGGCTAAATTATGGCCTCAGCCTCTCTGTTTCTATTTTCTCCAGGCACCTAAGAGACTAAAGCCCGCACCCCTAAGTTTTATTCAGGAGTTTCTTAAACCAGAAATATCCTTTCCTTTTCAAGTAGGTACTTGAGAATTCTGACCCCGGGATTTAACGTGCATGCAAATGGAAAATTTGACACACCGAGGACAGACGAAAGTTTCCCTGTGTCTGTGTAGGGTTGATTCTTGCTAGGCTGACTATAATGTGAGGGAATTACTAAAATGCAGTAAAGTATGATTCCTAAAAGTAGCTATGTCATAGACAAGAAAATATCACCTTTGCTTTTTTTTTTTAATCTTTGTTTAAAAATAAAAATCTATGATACGATATAATTTTTGTTTAAGGAAAGGCTCTAAAACACAGAAATTTGGAAAGATGTAAACCAAGTGATTTTCTTTGGGTGGAGAAATTATTGGTGATCACGCAAAAACACTTCCGTTTTATATAAACTTTCTATTACAAGCAATTTCATTGTCATCATCAGAAAGACATTTTCGTTTTTGGGAAATGGTATAGAAACAAAGACATCAATTTGGTACAAATGCAGATGGATGACTTTAGAGACAGTTCAGAATTGACTATTAAAAGGCCTTCTGTTTTGTTTTAATACAGAGTGAGAGCTAGACAGGGCCACATCTACAGGGAGAGTCCACAGATGTGGACTCAGTGATTGCAGTGTTTGAGGGTAAACATTATAAAAATAAACAAATGAGCAAACTAATGGAATGTGATAGACAGGATGCCCAAATAATCACTATAAATGTGTGTCCTTTATTTTTGTCAGAGACCCAGCATGGACTTTTACCACTCTATTAATCTGGCTTCTATCGCCGCGTAGAGTTAGTGGCACTTTATGTTCTAAATCATAAATACGTAATTTGCCCTTGGTTTGCTCTTTCCATTAAAGTTTGTTATCTCATCGTAGGAATGGGAAAATGTACCAATGGCAGATATCAAACAGGTGGGTGTCTACAAACCTTGAGAATTTGACGTGCAGGTGAGAATTTTACCAGGTGGGACTTCACTGGGGTTCTGAGGCTGCTGACAGGTCAGCCTCAGGCACAGTCCCTATAAATAACTTCAGGAAGGACACTGAGTTCTAGACTCCGGGAAAGCCCTTGACAATGAGGTTGATCCTGTTTTTCGGTGCCCTTTTGGGGCACATCTACTGCCGAGAAACATTTGTGGGGTAAGTTATGCTTTCTGATAATGGTTTGAATTTTGCTTACTTGATGCACAGAGGCTCTCACTGGATTGTGGCAGAATCATGGATGTAAGTATTCAGCATTTTCAGAGCCTTCTCTTAGTTTGGAGAGGAGATAGTGGGATTAATAGAAATGAGAGAGAGAGAGAGAGAGAGAGAGAAAGAGAGAGAGAGAGAGAGAGAGAGAGAGAGAGAGAGAGAGAGAGAGAGGGAGGAATGACAAAAAACAAAACAAAACTGAAAACTGAATACATATAACCTATTTCTGTCCGTCCTTACTCATTTCCCCTCTGTTGATCAGGATGTAGGAGTGATAGACATGACTGAAAGAAAGCTGTTTGGCCATTTATCTCAGTGCTGTCTCAGAAAGTGACAGGTTATTCTCCCACCTCCTTCTCCCCACCGTCCTCGGTTTCATCCTCCATGTCAACCCTTGTCTTCCCATCTGCAGATCTCAGGCAGTGGGACCTCATAAAGTGGGAAGACCAATCCAAATCCAACTCTCACGGCTTTGTAAGATTCATCTTTGCTCCAAAATACTTTGGTTCCAAGATTCTATGAAGGGCTTTAGGCAGCATTTCCTTTTGTTATTGTTGTTATTTTTGTTAATCCTCAACCAGAGGATATTTTTCCATTGAACTTTTTTTAGAGAGAGTGTCAGGGAGGGAGTGGGGAGAGAGAGAGAGAGAGAAACATCGGTGTGAAAGAGACACATCTATTTGTTGCCTCCTCAGTGTGCCCTAATAAGGGCCAGGTATTGTCCTTGATGGGAATCGAATCCATGACTCTTCAGTCTGCAGGCCAATGCCCTAACTAACCGCTGAGCCAAAAACAGCAAGAGCTAGGCAGCATTTCTTGAAGAGTATTCCAGGGAACTAATGAAGTGGTCAAATAAATTTGGCTCTCAAAAGTGGGTGGCCAAATAAACTTTGGAATGAGAGGGTTTCTAGGTTCTTTTACTACTATAGCATGCGCTGTAAATCTATGAGAGGGGATCGAGGCTGCGGCACCACCCAATATTTTTTATCATGAAACTCCGCTTCACTTTTTTCTTTCTTTATTTTTTAATGCTGAGTAACTCAAATGGCTACTATTCTTTAGCACGCACACCAGGAAATATTAGCTTAATGTTGTACTTTTCCCAGTGCCTTTCCATTGTAAAGCAGGACTCCTGGGAATCTCTGTATTAATCAAAAGGAATGAGACTCAAATGAAAGCATTTTCAGACCATCGGTGGCAGGTGGATACTTGAAGGCAGGAGCGCCTTGGAGATCTCATTCTATCACATACAGTATATTCTACTCGAGCTCATTGGAAATTGCATGGTGCTTGGTTTCAGAAGACTTCAGTTCTTATCCCTGTGTATGCTCTTTGTACCAATCCCTTCCCAATGTTCACATGAGCAGGGTAGTGACACAGGAAGTGACCTACTTGGAGAAAGGGTTTGAGGAGAAACATCTGTCACCATGGTGACAAAAATCCAGCTCTACTCTCAATTTTTTTTTCTAAAGATATGTGTTTGCTTGTTTTTCAACTTCTTCCTGCCAAATTGTCCTTGATATCCTTTGTTTGCCATTATGTATATATGTGTTTGTGTGGAGAGAGAGGCCCACCAGGACTTTCCTGAGTCCCAGTTGACCCTAGCCATATCTCAAGTTTGGGCCACATAAATGGTGCTTGGAGAAATAACTCGGATACATTTCAATGAACCATAGCAAACAAACAAACCAACCAACCAACCAACCATACTAGGTCTACCCAAATGTGAATTCAATCCCTCTTACAAGCACCAAAGTAATTATTTTACTCCCCCCCCCCCCCCACCATTTGTATCTGAAAAACAGGAAGAGACAAGTTTTAAAAGCTAATTCTTTATGCTCAGCAGATGCTATTTGAGAATAATCGTTAGCTACAAGAAAGGTAACTTTAATGTCAAGCTTCCTGCTAGGAGTAGGTGAACCTCTTAATTATTATTTAGGTAACATACCCTTGGGGGAAGTAAAGTCATTCTCTCAGCTGCTCGTTCTGGGGATGTGGGTCAATATACTGTGTATCAGTTTGATTGTCAAAAAGATTATTAACCGCTGCATTAACCTCCTGGCATGTGGCGACTCATAAGAGCAGAAAGCAACAGGAAACAGTGTCCAGGTTTTGCTTTTAAGGTCATGTTTGTGGTTAATATTCTTTAGAGATCAAGTTCTTGAGATCATTCCAAGGAATGAAGAGCAAATAAAAAATCTGGCGGAACTGGAGGCTGAAGAACACCTTCAGGTATCTGTCCTAGAGGGGACTTCTGATTCTTAGAGACTACTCCCCAGGGAGACACGAGGGTTGGGATCTTTTACTTTGGACTGCATCTACCCTACTCTGACAGTGTGTGGAATGCCAACTCACGAAGCTGGGATGCAGAAAACCAGGGCTCTTGTCCCAGCTATGTGACATTGGGCAAGTCACCCATGTTTCCTGTGTCTCATTTTCCCATTCAGCATAATGAGAACAAGTAAACCATTCTTCTATCTCACAGGTTTATGGTAAGAATGAAAAGAGAGATTTCAGTTACTTTGAAAAATTTGGAAAACCTTTAACGCACTATTTACCTCCTAAAATGATGTATAGGATTAACATCCTGTTATAAAATGAATTAGATCACTTAAATGTCAACTGTTAAAAAAAAAACAAAAAACTGCCATAGTTTTAAATAATCTGTTCCTTCTGCCCATTTTAATATCTAACCATAGGAAGGGGAGGAAATTATATCTCATATGCTGATGCTTGGCTCTGTAAAAACCCTTCTTGCAGTATCATAGTGATTATACAATGATTTTAGTCTTGTGGGCTTGAGATAAAGTAGATATGAATTGATTTCTTGAAATCCATCAGTGCTGAGCTGTCCTTTCCCCTGTAATTACCCACTCACCGCCTTGGTCTTTTATCCCTTTCAGCTTGATTTCTGGAAAGCACCCACCATACCAGGAGAGACAGCCCATGTCCGGGTTCCCTTTGTCAGTGTCCAGGCCGTCAAAATCTTCTTGGAGTCCCAGGACATTGCTTATTCCATCATGATTGACGACGTTCAGGTAATTATCCCAGAGACCATCCTTCCAGAGGCTCGCTGATCCACTGGAACTGAAGGACCATCCTCCTTTATCTGTGGGTATCCTCTACCCACGGGGGTGCCTTCCTGCAGTCTGGGCCCCGCCTGCACAGTGGGTAGACGGGCATTGTCACTCTCTCTTCTACATTTGACACAAATGGGATATGATAATCAGAAACTGAAGGGAAAGGGCAAGAGAGTTTCTGGCATGAAATACAAAAGGCAAACTGATGGATTTTGGTCAAAGTAGGGGAAAGTAAGATGTTATTCATCTAGTTTTTAAAAATATATATTTTATTGATTTCAGAGAGGCAAGGAAAGGGAGAAAGAGAGAGAAACATCAATGAGAGAGAATCATCGAGTGGCTGCCTCCTGCCCGCCCCACACTGTGCACTCTTGGTTCAAAGGTCGATGCTCAACCACTGAGCCAATCCACCTGGGCCAGTTTTTACTTTATTTTTTTCTTTTCCTTCCATCTAGTTTTTAACTGGAGGTTAGGCCCTGTGAACCAAAGACGAAGCGGTAAACTCCACAGACTATCACAGAACTTATAGGGTAACTTACTTTTGGGAAGATTGGGCCGGAGCAGACACACAGATGGCCTAGCAGTTTTGTACTAATTATTCTTTGCTACCAGGCCTTTGTGACTGTACTTTATGTGTGTGTACTTTTTAATAGTATAATTAGGGTACTAATGATTGACAGGGCAAAGGGACAAAGAATGTAGTTGCTCCAGGAGCCTTATCTCCTAGTGGTTGGTGGTAGGTCAGCGATTTTCAACCAATGTGCAGCAGGACCTTTTAAAACATGCACTACCTGTGTATTTAGTCAGGGGCACTCACCTTTTCCCCTTAGATTGTTAAACAACACAACGAACAACAGCCAACACAATAGCCATCTAGTGTCAGTGAATCAAAATGATGCCTATTTCAGTCAGGTCGGCAAGAAATACATTCTTTGGTGTGTCGCAGCATTTTAGTAATTAGTTTCTGGGTGCCAGAATGTGAAAAAGGTTGGAATAGCTGTGATAGATAATTGCTTATATTCAATACTGTTGCCAGTTTGATATTTATCTCGGTTGTCATGCCATTCAGATGTTTCAAACAAACAAAAAAAAAATCATGGCTATATTTTAAATGAGAAAGCTTTGATATGCTTGCTGAGGGCTGTGACGTTGGGTCAAAGGTCACAGCATGAGACTTCAGAAATGAAATGAAATCCGGGACACAGAGATGGAGTTGGTTTTGTTCATAGGTACAGCTATACACCCTGGGCTCCCAGACAGGTAGGATGAACTACAAGACAACCACAGGACTGCCTGTCATTCTGTATTTGCAGCTTCTGGCTGGCCAGAAGCCCCCCCATTCATGCCACATCCACTTTCAGGGTGCTACCGGAATAAGGCAGCCTGTAGGCCAGGGAAAGCCATGCTTGGGACCGGGGGCTTGAGTGTTTCCATTTCCTTCACAATTGTAGGTGCAAACGCATTGCTATGAAGTAAGCATAGTTTGTAAAACTGCTTTGCCTTAGGTTCTGTTGGACGAAGAGAACGAAGAAATGCTGTTTAATCAGAGAAGAGAACGGAACGGTAACTTCAACTTCGAAGCTTATCACACCTTCGAAGAGGTAGGTGTTTTCAAAATGAGCATCTGAGAAGTGGGCCGTTCTTCCCTCAGATAACAAAATCAATACGTCCACTTGGCTGATGGAATGGAAATTATTATCCTATTTCCTAACGTTCCCAAGTTCCCCTAGAATAGGGGTGTCGAACTCAATCAGAGAAGGGGCCAAAATCTAAAATCCAGCCTAAATCGCGGGCCGAATCGTTTACTGAACAGTCATAAACTGTCATTGTGATGGAAACGCAGCGGAGTGCAGTGATGACAGTGCGGTGCGGGCCACATTGCAAGGCCTGGCGGGACGGATTTGGCCTGCGGGCCTTGTGTTTGACACATGTGCCCTAGAATGTCCCAGCCAAGTATTAAGTATCCCTGCCTTAAGCCGGAACCCGAAGCCCACCTGCCCATCCCGGCCGCCGTCCCGTTATTTTGGAAGGATCTTAAGTGAGCAGACAGACCGCCTGCCACGCTCTTGCGCTCTGCTCGGGGCCCCTTGCTGATTTCCAGCCCGCGCTGCTTCCAAAGCCATTTGAGAGCTGTGCTTCACGCTGTCACGGATGATAGAATCAGGGGACACCGTGACACCTCTGACTTCCAGCCGAGGCAGGGTCCCCCGAGCTGCACACAGCTCCCTACCTCACAGGAGCAGACTCTGCTTCTTTCCAGAGTTTGCGGGAGTGAAGCGCACTTCCTTCCTCTCCCTCCCTCTCCCCCTCCCCTAGCCACACACTGACCCCCGGCCACCTGGACAGTTGCCTTGTCTCTGCCACAGAACTTTTCTCGGCCCGCAGGGGTCAATTTGTACTGACTGATTTTGGGGTGAGGGATGGAGGGGAGGGGATGGGGAGATGGGTGTGTGTGTGTGTGTGTGTGTGTGTGTGTGTGTGCTTAAACGGAGAGGTGGGGGCGGGGGGTGAGCAAGAGCCAGAGAGGAGGTATCTTGTAGGTACTGACTCCCCAAATCAGGAATTGGAGATTGCAATGATCTCTGAAAACAAAGTCCCCCCCCCCTAATTAGTGGCAACACGTGACCTAAACTCATTTGGGGGCAACATCTGACCTCAACTGACTTGCCACTCACTTGTGTCCCTGCCAGAAATACCAAGGCATTTGAAAACGGGGCGATGCCGCGTGTACAATATACAACGCAGGCTTCCTACCTTCCCACATCTCTCCCCGCCACCACCAAAACCCCTTCATTTGCAAATGCGCGTGGCCCCTAAGGATTGCAGATGAGGGCTTATGGATCGAGGCAGTGCGGGGGAGCAGGAATGCCCTCTCCTTCGCGGGCCTCCCACAGCCGGGCCTGGCCGCCGGAGGAGCCGCCTCCCCGCTGCTCCTTCTCCGGACGCCGCTCGGCGCCCCAGCGGCACGGACTCCCCATCAGCCCTGCGAGGGCAGGCGAGGGGGCCGGCGACCAGCCATCTGCGGCCTGACCGAGCCCCGCTGCGTTTTGCAATGCTCGCCTCGCCTCTCTAAACCCATCTTTTCCTTTTTTTTTTTTTTTTTGGTGCCACTACCCATTTGTGTTCCTCCGCGGGTAAGAGGGGGAGGAGAGCAGCAGCTTTCCGCCTGGGGAAGCTGCCCTCCAGGGCCGGGCGAGGCCAGCCTGGAAAGGGCCATTTTGTTTTAAAACACAAAACAGAAGGAAAAAAAAAAAAAAAAAAAAAAGCCGGAGCCGCAGCCGCAAAATGGCTCCCCGGCCTCAGGCCTGCAGAGGCCCAGCGCCCCATCCTTGCAGACGCCCAGCTTTGCAGAGGCCCAGTGCCGCCCTCTCAGCTCGGATGCAAACGCCCCCATCCTGCGGCATCTGCCCGCTGCCCTGTCCTGGGGGGTGGGGTGGGGGGGGGAAATGGGCAGAGAGAAAAAGCAGCCCATAGGTGCATCCTATCACTCACGAACGCCTATGTATTTATCTTAAACCTTTCAGATTTCCCAAGCGATGGATAACATCGTGGCTGAGCACCCGGGACTAGTGAGCAAAGTGACTATTGGCCATTCTTTCGAAAAGCGGCCCATGAACGTGCTCAAGGTACACAGATGATGCGGCAGCAGGGGCGCGGGGGTGGGGTGGGGTGGGGTGTGTGTCCTCGCCGGGCTCGAACCCGCTGCTCCGCGCTGCACGGGAGCCTTCCGCCTTCCTCCGCCCCCGCCTGCCGGCCAACCGGTCCCCGCCGGTTTTGAGCATCCACCTCCCGGTTCCCGCCTCCGCCTGCCCCCCTTTCTCCTTCTCTGTCTCTCGCCCACGCGCACTGACGCAGGGCTGCGGGGGGATTAATGCTCTCCTCCTATGCATTCTCTTGCGGGGAGCCGAGGCCCGGGCGCCAATAGCAACCGCGGGAGGGGGCGGCGGTGCGGGCCCGGAGTCCGGGGAGGCGGGGGCGGCGGTTCGGGGCCCGCAGTCTGGGGAGGAGGAGGGGGGAGGTGCAGAACCCGGGGTGGGGAGAATAGGTGAGATAGTCTGTCTGCATTTAATCGAGCTAGGAGCTCTGTGCCGTGTTTCTCTCTCCCGCCCCTTTTTTCTTTCTCTCTCTCTTTTTCTAAAGCCGAGAGATTAAAAAAAAAAAAAAAAAGAAAGGAAAAGGCGCCTAAGCCCGAGCCTCATTGAAAAAGGGAAGAGTTCCCGCATTTAAAAAAACAAACAAAAAAAGGAGGCCCCGCTGGGCGCGAAAAGGATGGCAGGAAAAACTAAATCGCAAAGGCAAACGCCCAGAAACAGGCATTTTTTTTTTAAAGCATTCCAACCTGAAACCTCTAATAGACTTCGTGCTGAAATTTCAAGTTTTTTTTTTTTCACCTCGCCCTAAAAAAGAGTGAAAATTATTTCCCCAGATTTCCTAGAAAGCGTTTGTTAAGGAAAAAAAAAAAAAGAATGTCACAACTCCCTGCTAAATTTGGAAACGTGATGGCTGAGAACCAACGGACTCGGGACAGATGGATTTCACCAGAATGTTTTTCTCAAAGCAGGCCCGAGAGGAGCGGTTTGCCCGCTGTATTGACACTGGACGAGGGCACATTGGCTAATATTCACTGCCTTCTTTTCAAAGATCTCCTCCTGCCTGCTGCTCCTGCAGCTGGGCCCGGAAACCGCAGCCCCCTCCTCCCGCTCCCCATCCCATCCACCCCGCCACCCCCACCGCCGGCTTTTCCTGGCGGCCCTTCTCCTGGGTGGTTTCGTGGTTGAGAGAGAGAGTGTGTGTGTGTGTGTGTGTGTGTTTAAAGTACCCTGCTTTTTACATTCGAGCTCTTGGGAGGAATAGGCAGGGAACACTTTGAACGAAAACTCCCCAAACCCGTGAAATATAATTTTTAGCGAGGATTTGCATTTCTCATTTACCTTATCGGCTATGTTTAGAGTGCCGCGCAGACATAGAAATGGATGGTGCAAAAAATAACGTTTTCCTCCCCATTTAACTGATCCAGTTGGCAAAACCGCTGCTCCAAACAAAACGAAGCCACTTAGAACCATAAAATTTAAACTCTGGGAAGCACCTCGAAGCCTGCCATCCTGTTTTTAGGAGGGACTCAAAAGGTTATCATGAACATTTTTTATTACACAAATGATACCATCATTGCGTGAAATTGGAAGAGGAACAAAACAAACAAAAATAGGGGTGGGAGTAGGCGAGAAAAACATCCCCATATTCCTAATTCCACAAGTATGGAGTGATAGCTATTGTTGCATATCCTTCTATTTTTCTCTCCCTCTCCCTTAATCTCATATGTTATTATGTGTATCCATACACACATACACACGAACTAGCCTTTTTAGAAAATAAAAATGGCACCACACTATTTTGTAACCTGTTTTTTTATTTATTTTTAATTTGCAACATACAATGAACGTTTTCATGTCATCACCTTATCTGCAATGATTTTTTACAAACATGAAAAAAAAAAGGTCTCTGCTCTTAGTCTGCACTTAGCTTATATTAAAAGGGGACAAAAAAAATATTAAGTGAGAAGAGTTAATTGATGCATCACTGTCTACACCTCCTTCTCTCTCTCAATCACATCAAGTACAGGAAGAGGGGCAGACAAGGCTGGGGTAGAAGCGAGGGGGCCTGGGGCTGCAGCGCTCACATTTCCCCGCTTCTCTTGCAGTTCAGCACCGGAGGAGACAAGCCCGCCATCTGGCTGGACGCCGGGATCCATGCTCGAGAGTGGGTCACACAAGCTACTGCTCTGTGGACAGCAAATAAGGTGATTTTGCCTAACATTCTAACCTTGTTTTGTTTTTCTGGGACCAGGACCCACGTAAGCCCACAACAACCCCTGTGGTCCTAATGGCTGGAGCGCCCAGCTCAGCTGCTTCTCTTGCCACACAGGCAGGAGTCAGATCCATCCAACCCAGCTCGCACCCTGGCCCTCTTCCCCTGCTGTGCCTCTGGGTGCCTGCTGGAAGAAGAGAGGGCTAGAAGAGATGGCAGGGGTAGAAAAGAAGGACCATAGGGAGTCAGATTTCAGTTTAAGAACAGACAAGAGAAAAATTGCTTTTGCTGCCTTGAATTTTCAAGGCTGAGGCATGATATGCTTGAAATCTCAAAAACCACGGAGGGGGCCCAGGTGGCAGATACAAACAGGGGCTAGAAAAGTTCGCTTGGACCTACAGGTCCAAAGCGGAGCCCGCGAAGGGCGGTTGGTGGCTCTGAAACATTTCCAGATCTGATTTCGAAGCCAGCGTGTTAGCAATACCGCTCCTTCCACATGCTGGTTGGAATTAAGAGTCAGGACACCAGGCTGGGTGTGACCTCGTCTGGTATTTCTTAAGTAATTCAAAAGTGACACACTATAAATCAGAATGTTAATTCATGAGCAAAGGAAATCAATCCACATCAGATCATTCAAGCATGTGCAACCACGTGCATACTGACTGATACATTTTTCCCTTCAATTAAAATGCGGTTACCTTTAGGGTATTATGAAATGGATATTTAACAGTTGAATAATAATGCTCTAGGATGGCTGAGCACAGGAAATGAGTAAATTTTAATCCAGCAGAAACTTCAACTCTACTGCAATTGATTGCAAGTAAGAAATTTAATTCCCCAAATGGAATTTAACGGGCTGTGTTTTTAGAAAAGTCCCTGCATATTTAAGTTAGCTGATGTTGGTTGAGGGCTACCCTGTGTGGCGATGAAGGTAAACTTGCAAATATCTCTTTGCCTCATACTTCCCTATAAGCCACATACACACCATTGCCTACCGTTGCAAAATGCCTCCCCAGAATGAATAGGAAGGATTCTACTGCTTTTTAGAGAAAAATAGATAAGTAATATCTGATTTTTTAATTTAATATAAGTAAATACTTCTGGCCAGAAATAAGAGTGTAGGCGCTGGCATATGAAATACATTAACACTGCAGGAAATTGGATGAAGTCCTTTGAGACCTTTCATTGACCAGCAGTGATAGCTAGTTCTTGTGTGCGGGGTGGGGGGGTGGGAACACATCGCCTTAATATTCTACCCTGAATTCCCCGGTGGAAAAAGAGAAGGGTGAGCTTGACATATACGTTGTTGCCTCTGCTCAGATTGCCTCTGATTATGGAAATGACCCCGCCATCACTTCCATTTTGGACACAATGGATATCTTCCTGCTGCCGGTCACCAACCCCGACGGATACGTGTTCTCTCAGACCAAAGTAAGCTTCTTGGGCTTTTCCTCTTCTCAAAACAGGAGTCTAAGGAGCAGCGCAGGGACTTTGAAAACAAAATAAAAGTAATCTTCTCGTCCTTGACTCACTGTAAACAGAATGCCTAATCTCCCCGTGGTGGCCCTGAATTGAAGCGAGCGGTGGAATTTATAATCACTTCTTATTACAGCACACGGTGGCTTCACATATTGCCTCCGCCAGCGCCTCATTTCAGCTGTTAGGCTGGGCTATTAGAGCTCATTGTTCGCTGTGAGTCACCTAGGAGATTTGTTCCAATTATCTCCCTGTTTTTGTGGCAGGATTGATAGAAAAGTGGAGGCGGATGTTACCTGCTGACAATTAGATTTGTGGTAGGATTTAGGTAGGCAGCACAATACATCTAACATTTTTACTTAAAAACCTGTAGAAGAAATCTCTGGAGTATTACTGAAAGGAGTTATGCCGTTCTTTTTTTTTTTTTTTCCTGCCCCCCTTTAAAAATCTCATTACAAACCTCCATTGTGGCAACCGTGACCCCATGTATGTTCAAAAATGACTGAGAGCTTCAAATTTATTTCTGGAGAGATCTGACTAGGATCGCATTTTTCAAGGCGGCTTCAAAAGGAACGCGTACAAATAATAGTACTCATCTTAGGAGATGCCCTAAAAAATGAATAAAAGTTCCATGGAGAAGTTTGGGAACTATCGCCCACTCTATCCCTTTCTTAAGAGTTTCATAAAAAAAAATAAATTAAAGCATTCAAAAACCTTAGAAGTTCTAAAGTAAATCAGCCAATTTAGTTCTGTATTTTCCCAGACGATTCTGCCATGGAACCCTTGCTTTCTCCCCACTTTTTGTCTGTTTGTTTGTTTTTGTTGTTCACACTTAATAGAACTGCTGTTCCGAGGAGCAGGTTCTGGCAGGCGGTGGCATTCACTGGAGGGGTGGGGGCTGTCTGCTCCTCTGTGCGGAGCTGACGGGGAGCCCCGCTCCGCACCTCCGTGTGCAGGGGGATGCGGGCAGGGTCACAGGGGCCTTCTGGCGGGATGGAGGGAGAGGAGAATTCTAAAGAGAAGGCCGTCTCATCAGGCTGAATGACCATAACGTACACTCCCTCCCCTTCCTTTTTCTCTTTTGCTTGGATTTTAATTTAGAACCGTATGTGGCGGAAGACCCGGTCCACAGTGTCTGGAAGCCGCTGTGTCGGGGTGGATCCTAACCGGAACTGGGACGCAGGTTTTGGAGGTGAGCTCGGGGAATGAATGGTCAGGCTGCGTCTGGCCTGCGAGCTGCTTTGCAAGGCTCTGCAGGACCGTCCGCCCGCTAAGCCCATTCAGGATGCAAGCCATTTAAAAACCAATTTGCAAAACACTTAACTAAATTCCCTTCCCAGGCTCGCCGCCGCGCTGTCACAGCGCTCCGAGCTGCATTTAATGCATTTTGTCTCACATCTCGGCGTTCCCACAAGCTGGGGCCCGGCGGCTCAGCTTCTGAGCTCTCAGGCTGGGACTCATTGTGCGATGGCGGGAGGCTCCGGAAGCCCAGACCGGCCACTAGAGGGGGTTAGGATCTATCCGGAAAGCCGCATTACATCACCCGTGGATGCTTCGAGAAAGAAAACCCCAGGCCAAATAAGACCAGAAACCGATTTTTCAGAATAGATTCAAAAGAGAGAGAATACCGGCTTGCCGCGCTGGCTCTGTTGACTAGCAGCTCTAATTGTTGGGAGTTCGGTGGCAGGCTGGTTGGGTGCTCCTTTGTGCTCTCGGGCACCAGTTAAAGCGCCTTAGAGTTAAATCACAGAATGGAAATTTGTTGTTGTTTTTTTCCTTATTAGGTAGGATAACAGTGAGGTGAGAAGCTGTCTCTTTCGCTGCAGTTTTCCTAACACCTAGCACAGTGTCTGGAACATAGAAGGCAATCATGGGATATTTGTAAGACAAATACATTAGGGAGGTTCATTGAACCCAAAGAAAACATATTAGGGGATTGTGATAGGACATGGATGAGTGGCAACTTATTCATTCATCGATTTTACAATTGTGTGTGTGTGTGTGTGTGTGTGTTTTAGTGTAGGGGAAAAAATTAAAATATCAGATCCAAAATAATGTTGTTCTTATAAAAAGAATCCTAAAATAAAGGTGTCAGGCTATATTTACCTTAGTCCATATCACTTAGAGACCTAGGGCGTCCCTACCCCTCCCATCAGAGTTTCTCTAGCAGGCATAGCCCTGGCCAGGCCCAGGGGACCCTCTGCAGTGGCCATGAGTTCCTCTAGTTGCTGAGAAAATCAAAGCCAAAGGAGTCCTTGTTGTCAGATGTAGTTGTGATTGCCTCGCTGTAGAAAAGATGTCAGAGGTTCTTTGCGTTCGTGGCTTTGTGACTTTAGAAGTACGGATGTACAGAATCTTCTCCTCTTGGACTCTAAGAATTGGAAGGGATCCCAGAATTGCTCAACTCCTACTCAACGCAGGAATTCCATCTATAATGTTAAATCTAGCTTTTCATCCCGCAACTCCCACAGAGGAGACGATCTCACTTGATAGCTCCCTTTGTCACATAGAGCCATATTTCAAAGAAGGGAGCTGTGTCCGGAGTCACTTGCTGCCTGACAGTAACATGCTTGCTCCGGTTTCCAGAGGAGGGACGTGGTGGTGCGTGGAAAGTGCCTTCGTGCAGTGTCTCCGCTAAGCTCACTGCTCGCGCGCGCGCGCGTGCTCTCTCTCTCTCTCTCTCTCTCTCTCTTTCTCTCTCTCTCTCTCTCTCTCTCTCTCCCTCCCTCCCTCCCTCCCTCCCTCCCCCTCTCTCTCTCTCTCTCTCTCTCTCTCTCTCTCTCTCTCTCTCTCTCTCTCTCTCTCTCTCGTGTTTCTTACATCAGGACCTGGAGCCAGCAACAGTCCTTGCTCTGATTCCTACCACGGACCCAGCGCCAACTCTGAAGTTGAGGTGAAATCCATAGTGGACTTCATCAAGAGCCATGGCAAAGTCAAGGCCTTCATCACCCTCCACAGCTACTCCCAGCTGCTGATGTTCCCCTACGGGTATAAATGTACCAAGATGGACGACTTTGATGAGCTGGTGAGTTTCGGGAACTTCCTTTTAGCCCAACCACAGATAATCCATTGTGTGGACAAGTTAAGTGGCAGTCATAAAGTTAGGTACTGAGACGGGAGAGCCCGAGGGATAGGTTATAAAGATCTATGAGACATAACACGTCCAACCAATGGGAAGATCGGGACGTGGACTCTCCTAAATTAAGATTCCTTTGGAAATGGAATTCATGGAATTATTATTGCCTGAATCTTGATGTGCAGGACCCTGATTTGAACACAGGCTCCCAGGCTGTGCTTTCTGCTGCTTAGGAAATAACCGCTTGGACCTAGAATCAGAGATGCTCTGTGCTCTCCTCCAACTCCCTGCCTGGTACCTCCTGGGTGCCTTCAGCTTCCGTGATATGCATGATAGTGGGCATCAAACATCCACTTCCCTAACTTGATATCTTCCACCATCTTTTCTGCTTGAGGAGTAGGTAAATGGGTGGCAGCCTTAAACCAGATGGTGACATCTCAGAGGGCTGCTTCCAAACGAGCAAGAACTATCCTCAGCCGAAGGGAATGTGCAAATATTTCCACCTTGGCTTTTAGGCTAGAATTTTGAAACCCATAGACTAGAGATAAGATGTGACCTTTTGGTGGGTTTATGTCTACATAGATTCTTGTCAGTACCTCCTGGCAGAAACGAAATAGATTATTCAAATGCGGGTGTAGCTTACATCTCAGTTGGGTTTTAGCACTGGAGGGCAGGTTTCGGGGTTGAACTGGGGGAAAAAGAATGTCAGGATTGAAAACAACCTTAAAGGTACTTTTTTAGTAGATCTAGATCACCTTAAATTATCCAAACCTGGTGTTCCCATCTCTGCCAGATAGCTATTCATCCTGTGATTGGGTGGGTTCTTGGCTTCAAGGAGCATGCTCCATTTTGGGGCGTATTTGATTGTTTGCATTCTTCCTAATAGAGAGCCAAACCACCTACCTCCTTATGGTTTTCACCTGTCAGCCCTGATTTATCATCTGGCTCCATGGAACAAGTTTTATTTCTCTTTGAGAGGCAAATCCATTAATTACTTGAAGACCAGTAAGCTGTTTTTCCTAGGGTTTTCCTTATATCTGCTAGGGACCCCCAGTTCTTTCGAGCACTCATAATAAGATCCCAAGTTTCCATACCATTCAGGATGCTATTTGCCAAACATGCTTTGCTTTTTTTTCTGTGTTCTTCAAGAGTAGCTCCCAGAAGTGAATGCTGTGGGTTAAGCAGCACAGCAGAGCGTGACCATAGCTGCCCTCCTCCAGACTGTGCGCTTCTGCTTATGCAGCCGAGGGTCAGCTAATTGGCAGTAGCTAGCACCGTTCGGTGGACTCATGTTGGGCTTATTGACAACTGAAACCCCCAAGCTCTCTGAGGATTCTGCCGAGCCAGATTTCCCCCATCTGGTAATTGTACAGTTGTTTTCCTGGACCCACGTTTAAGACCTTAGATTTATCCCTAGCAAGGATAGTAAAGCCTCAATCAGTCAAAATTGGAACCCTCAAATAATGGAAAATATTTTGCTGAGCTCTACTTCTTGAAAAAAAGAGTCAATCATGGGGAAATAAGCCAATGTAAGGATCTAGGGGGGAGGAAAAATCAACTTTGTGGGTATATCCTGGAGTCCGCACACTTCTGGTGGGCCCCTTACTCACACCCTATTTCCATCCACAGCCCTGAACAGGAAGAGTTTGTGGCAAAGTTATGACCCTGGTCATTATTAATGTAAGCGTCTGTATGCCCAAATAAACGGGATGAGGGTCTTCATTTTGTATTTTTTTAAATATAGGATGTATCAGCTATTAAACTGCTAGGAACAGACACTACACTTGAGAAGTGATCAGGTTGTATTTTAAAAGCCAACAAAAGTGAGCTGTGCTTGCTTCTCATAAAAAATGGTTGAAACAAAAAGGTACTTAGTCCTCCATTAACCAGAGAGTCCCGTTAACACGGCCGACCCACGCTGCATTCTGCTGTTGGGCATCTGTTCTTCCAAGAGACAAGTGTGAGCCATTCATCTTTCCTTGCTTCTCTCCCTGTAGAAGGAAGTGGCCCAAAAGGCTACCCAGTCTCTGAAATCTCTGCACGGCACCAAGTACAAAGTGGGACCCATCTGCTCAGTCATCTGTGAGTACCTAATGTGTTTTTACAAATGCTCCGCCAAGATAGCAGGCACCACGTGATTCGGGGCCAAAGCCTTTCAATGCCCTGATGTGAAATTCGTACGCCTTCATGCATGAAGCCCAGCCTTATCCAGTTTCCCTCTGCAAGCTAGATCTCCTCCGTGAGATATTTACTGTGTGATGCTTAGAACAAAGAACTTTCTAAATAAGGGAGTTGTGTGCTCTCTGCTCTGCCTGCACTAATCCTTACACCTCACTCTCATCCTTTGGAATCTGTGCCTGAAAACGGGCCTTGATTGAGACCTGGTCCTAAGTCATCACTTTTATCAATTATACCTTTCTTGGCCAGACTTCCTAAACCCCCTCTCCCAAAGTGGATTGGTATCAAAACAAGAAACAACTGCGTTGCTATAGGAAATCCCAGTGCACTCTCATGTAGGTTCTGGGTCCCCCACAGGCATCCCTCCAGTTTCTTATGGACACAGCCAGAAACTCAGGACCTTACGGTTGAATGGCCAGGAGTTCCCTAGTGCTCCCATGCCCATGGTCCTTTGGAAACAAAGGCCTCTTATAAGCACCCACTCTGTTCACCCTTTTATTAAGCACCTACTAAGTGCTAATCATTATGCCAAGTACTGGAGACATAATGAACCCATAGAGAACTCACTGTTTACTATGGAAGATAAAGAGAAAGTCAGTAAACTTTAGTATGGTATGTGAACTAGAAGGCTACAAATGCTGCAAAAGTATTAGAAAGTTGGGATTTGACAGTGGAAGTACAAGGAAAAGCTTCATAAGGAAGAAGGCAGGGTTTTAAAAAATATGTTTTTATTTTAATTTTTATTTATTTATTTATTTTTTTTATTACAGAAAGCCAAGGGAGGGGGGAGAGAGAGAGAAACATCAGTGATGAGAGAGAATCATTGATTGGCTGCCTTCTGCACACCCCTCACTTGGTATTGATCGAGCCGGCAACCTGGGCATGTACTTTGGGAACCAAACTGTGACTTCCTAGTTCCTAGGCCGATGCTCAACCACTGAGCCACACCAGCTGGGCAGGAAGGCAAGGTTTTGAAGGCTGATCACCAAAGAGCTAGAGAAGGGGAAAAGGAGGGGGCCATTCTGGCTCCTTCACAGCACACGCAAAGGCACAGAAGGATGAAACTTTATGGCGGGCTCTGTGAACTATAAGGTTTGGGGCTGCTGGAATGAAAGTGTAAGACTGGGAGTTGGGAGTTCAGGGTTTTGTGTACAATGTCAAGGAGTCTACAGGATTCTGGAAGCCTCTGGAGAGTTTTCAGCAGGTCAGTGAGTGTCGAGGCATTGTGTTTTAATTTAGGCAAAACACATTAGCTTCAGCGTGGAGGATGAAGTAATAACGGACTGGAAGCAGGAACACCCCACAGGAAGAGAAGGAGGAGTTTGAGGGAGAGATGGTGGGTGGCCCAACTATTTTGTGGTCTGAACGAGCACTAGGTGTCTGACCTGTGGAGTCAGACCAGATCTGGGTTTAGTCACCTAGGTACTTGGGTTTTGGCTAGGAAGGAATTCAGAACCTGGACTCAGACTGTAAGAGAACATGTAGAAGCAGTAATTCCTAGAAGAAATGGGCTTAGGAGGCACGTTTTGGAGGTAAGGGAAGGGCCTGGAGCTTGGGAGTGAGGTAGCTAATGGTAATGTGCCTGTGGCAGACGGGGAGGAGAAAGGGAGAAGAGATGGGGCAGGGACAGGGAAAGGGAGAGGCTTGGGTGTGCTCCAGGAAGGGCGAGCCTCTGGGTCCTCAGTCCTAAGGGTTAAGGGTGGAGACTAGGGAGGTCCCAGGGGAAGATCTCAATAGCACCTGCAGCAGTTTTCCTGGTGTGTTTCTTTGGGGTTGTGCTCTCTGCTGATCAATTGGCAGGCGCAGGGCAGGGGTCATTATTCAGTGCAGCTGGCCCTGACATCAGCTGTGGCTGGTTTTGTTGCTTATCTGAGGCCTAGATGTTGTCTCCAGAGAGGTCAGGGGGTCCAAAGAGCCAGACCAGTGACCCGCAGTGGCCAGACCAGCGATATGGAAGGGGAGGGAAAGTCACGCTGGGGGCGAGGTCTCACCCTAGAATTGATTGTCTGTTGTTAAGCTCCTGGGGCTTTCCACATTGATGGCCTTCCGTACCTGGCCCATCAACCTTGCTTTGCTCATGTCTCTCGAACTGCCTACCACACAACCAGAGCAGTGAGGATGGAAGAGAGACATTTAGGAGGTCAAAACCGTAGGGTTTTGCCATTTATCGAATATTGAGAGTTTCTCACCAAAGAGCATTGAATGGTGCCATTAGCTGAGGGAGGCATCCGGGAAGATGAAACAGGGGTGGGCTTGGAAAGATACTGAGCTGAATTCTGGAAATATTGAGGTTGTCCTGAAGGTATTGGGCTACGTGGCCCTGAGATTTTGCAGGGATTTAGGGTTGGTTGACATAGAGAGGATGGTTGGTACAGGAGAGCAGGGTGATTTGGAGCGGGAAGAGCTTTGGGCGGAATTGGGGAGCGAGGCGATAGGCAGAAGAGGTTAGCAGTGAGGGAGCGAGACGCCGCAGAGCTGGGTAGAGAGGAAGCAGACAACCTTCTGTTTCAGAAGCGGGCAGGGAGCAATTGTGGGCCAGGTGGCAGTGTTTAACAATGACAAAGGCCACGGGAAAGGCCAAATATTACAAGGACAGAATATTTACCATTGGATTTTCATCGCTAGTGTTAAAAAACAAAATTCAACTGAGCAAATTTGAAGATGTAATTGGCTTTTTAAAGCGATTCATGAGTTGGCCAGCATCCCATCTAGCATCTGGAAGGGCACTCTGGTGGTTGTACAGATGGGAAGTTTTTATAGGCAGAAAGCGGGGTGGTGGTGGGGGCAAGAAGTTAAGAGTGGATTATTTCAGGCAAGGCCACCTCCCCTAAGGGGGAGGGAGTCTTAAAGGGCAGATTAACTCACCAGTGTGGATCAGGAAATTCCAAACTGATTTGTTTAAAATGCCACTCCTGGGAGTGGCTGAACTGCAATTAAGTTAGGTATTAAAATCTAGGTTTGGTATCCTGGGCTTTTAGCACAAGCGATACCATTTTGGGTGCGTGGTTCTCTCTTTTTAATATGAGTGTGGGGGAGGAAGGACGTCTTCCTCTATCCTCAAGGTTCTTTCAGCTGGTTTAATAGATGTGAGTACTGGCTAGGTGAGTCAGGTGGTTGGAGCATCATCCTGTGCACCAAAAAGGTGGCAGGTTCGATTCCTGGGCAGGGCACATACCTAGGTTGCCGGTTCAATCCCTGGTTGGGATGTGTACGGGAAGTGACTGATGGATGTTCCTCTCTCACTTTGATGTGCGCCTCTCTCTCTCTCAAAAACCAATAAAAACCTCAGGTGAGGCTTAAAAATAAATAAGTAAGTAAGTACTAAGTAAGTAAACATGAGACAGATTAACAAGAAAAAATTTTAATTACATGCATATATATGTGAACTTCACATACATGAGAGGTTCAGTGATAGAAAGGGAAAACAAGGTGTGTGTGTGTGTGTGTGTGTGTGTGTGTATGTATATGGTCAGAATAATAAGAATAAAAGATGATTTCTGATAATCTTTAGCTATGGGTACGGCTCCTACTTCAAATTCTTCTAGGTAGTTTGGAAAGGGCAGAAGTTTCTCTCAAGCCTACAGAGTCCTGGTTGCCTTTAGCTCAGAACAGCCTGCATACCACACAGGCACGTCTTGGGATCACCTACACTGGCTTATTGGTGACTCTGAGCAGAGTAGTTCCAGAGGAGTGGGGAGAGTGGCTGGAGGAGTACAGGGGTGGGGGAGAGGTGAGGCTGGTGCGCAGACCACGCTGTAGGGCAGGGGTGGGGAACCTTCTTTCTGCCAAGGACTGTTTGGATGTTTCTAACACCATTTGAGGACCATGCAAAACATTAGCCTGCTTTGTTTGGTCAAACATTTAATGAACGCACCCCTACTGCGTTGGCAGAGCCTGACCAGATGATTTCCAGGGCCTTAGACAGCCTATGGACCGGCTGTTCCTCACCTCTGCTTTAGAGGAACCTGATGGGAAGGGAAAGAGATATAGGAATCAAGGATTTCTTCTTTTCTAAAAAAACAACAACAAAAAACAAAACCTCGTCAGAGGATTATTTCCCTTTGATTTCCAGAGAGTGGAAGGGAGGAAGGAGGGGGAGAAGGAAACAGGGGCTGCTGGAGAACCTGTAACCAAGGTACATGCCCCTGACCAAGAATTGAACCCGCAACCCCGCGGCCCAAGGATTGATGCTCTAACCTAGGGGTGTCGAACTCAATCAGAGAAGGGGCCAAAATCTAAAATCCAGCCTAAATCGCGGGCCGAATGGTTTACTGAACAGTCATAAACTGTCATTGTGATGGAAACACACAATGCGGAGTGCAGTGATGACAGCGCGGTGTGGGCCACATTGCAAGGCCTGGCGGGACAGATTTGGCCCGCGGGCCTTGTGTTTGACACATGTGCTCTAACCACTGAGAAAACCTGCCAAGGCTTGCTTTTTCTTTTTCTTTTTCTTTTTGAGACAAGAGACTGTGGGGAAAGAGAGAGAGAGAGAGAGGGGGAGAGAGAGAGAGAGAGTTGTGAAAGGTACAGGAGAGATCAGAACTGGCCAATGTAATACTGTGCCATCGTGGGTGAGGAGGAGGGCAAGGAGGAGACACGCAGAGGTGGGCAGATCGAGCTTGAACAAGAGGAGGGAGTCTGCAGACATGCTGGGGGCAAAGATAGCTACATCTGTAGGAGGGTGGTGGCAGGAATCTGAGGGAATGAATGCTTGTGAGTCATGGTTTTCTTAATGGGAGTCATTAAAAAATAAAATTCAACCCAGTACATTTTTAAGTTCTAATTGGCTTTATTAAGTGATTCATGAATCCGGCAGCACCTCTTCTAGCAACTAAAAGGAGCAGTGTGGGGGTTGTACAAGATGGAAGATTTTTTATTTCCCAGTATATTTTTATTGGTTT